AAGTGAATAGCAGAGGGTAAAAGGGTGTTTTTTCCAATTTCTAGGTGGCGCCGTAGAGACATTTCTGTTGCAATTTTTGCTACGACTTTAAAATACGTAAATTTTAAACAGGCTTAAGGCCTCCGCCAAGTTTTGGTGAGTTTTTGAATATGATAAAGCCCCCAAAAAGCCAATTCATTTGGGTGGAAGAATAATAATAATAATAATTAAAGCTGCAAGCAGCCTCGAACGGCCCTCGCAGCCAAGCGCCGCTCCGGCCTATTGCCACCGCGGGGTATGAGCAACCGCCGCCTCACGCCAGCCACCACAGAAGCTCTCACGCAGTTTTCAGCGCCTCCGCCCGCACCGCGGAAGCAGTTGCTCAGTTTCCATCAACGCTGCGCACGTGCTAAGACAGAAGTTGTTGCGCAGTTTTCCGCGCCCGTCCTCCAGGCGGTACGCATCTATGCGTTCGGCGGCTATCCTTCAAGATGCAAAAAATGTGGTATAGATTCATTGGTTTAGCGAGGAAATACAGCTGGCGGATTAATGTAGGGGCGCAGTGGAGTCAAAATACATTTCAATGCTGTTTTGCTCTTTAGTTCAACAAAGGTCATACGTATCCAATTTGGCGCCAGTCCGATGATCCACGTGTCATTTAGAGCCGATCATATGCACGTGGCGAAGTAATGCATTTCGTCATTTCTACACCCCAATGCGGTTCGGTCAGCAGCCAGCATTCATAGAGTTCATCATGTTATCATTTTTAGTCAGTATTCACATGATGAACCCATATAAATTATAGAATAACAGTAAAACATACAGCAGAAAAAACATGTGACTGCCTCTTAAAAGTGGGAGGGGCTACAGTGAGGTCATCAAGTGACCATGGAAATGTGTTCAGGCTGTTCTCTAGAAAGACAGAGGAAGTGTGATGATGCAGCTGTGATCTTGCATTTGGAAGTCATTTAATGTTGATGTTTCATGGTAAATAGTGAAAGTTTTACACTAAGCCACACCCACATGCTTGATGTTAACTACAACTGAGATGTAAATGCAGTGCAACTTTAACGTTATCGTGAAATGAGTCAGGAAAATGGTGAAGGTTAAGATGTATCAGTTTAATAAACCGCACTGTTCAGTAATAAACCAAGGGCAATGCACAATAACAGAGCACAGTTAACTTTCAGCACTTTAGAACAATAGCACAGGCTGAATCCCATCCATTAATTAGGTATTAATCACAGGAAGTGCTGCAACTAAATATTACAACCCCAATGGATCTGTAAAAAGATACTTAGCATTTTCTCAGAGCTCTTTCAAACGACATTTTAAACATCTTCTATACATAATAACAAACAACTCTGAATTTATGAAACTGGATGTATCACACACACTATTCAGTTTATTGAATTAGTAAAGCGCTTCGTTAGCATTAAAAACGTTGCAGGCCTCAGGCATTGGGTTAGCATCCTCCTCAGAATAACTGTTCCAAACATGACGGCTTCCAGAACCAGCAGGAAGGAATAAATTACTCACCGCACCGCGAGTTACGACTGTTTAAACGAAAAGCAATGGGCTCTTTGCACCTGCCGCGCTGACGTCACAACTGTATACCCGAATGCTTCCACTTTCAGAAACTATGACTGCTATAAAAGACAAAGTCGTACTTAAGACACAATAAAACAATACTATGTACTTTGTTTAAGTTTTCATGGATTTCCAAGCCATCCTCAATCAAGACAGTTTTGTAAATATTCGTTGCTACAAGTTAAAGCTACCACTTGAAGCTAACGCCGTACACACCGCTCTAAACACTGTCTTAATGAGCCATTCACAACAAGCATGCAAAAGTAATAAAACGAAATAACACAGAAACCTTAAGCAACACGGCCATATTTTTCTAAAAGTAATAACTCTGAATCTGAACAGTCAGCTGAACTAGAACTCCGATACCAGAGTAAGCTCTGTGCTCGTTTTTCTTCGTCATACTTCAAGCAAAAAGTCTGAACTGTAATCTGCTCCCCCTCCCCTGCTTTATTGTCGTTAACAATAAACACACGTAATATGCTTGAAAATAAGGCACAAACAGTGTCCGTTAGAATGGCTGAGAAATCTTTAGATAATTAAATAGCAGATTTTTACTAGAAAGCTAGCAGGCTTGTGCTAGCAGTTTAAAGAAAATAAAACTCACCTTCATATCTGTGAATGTATAACGAGGCGAACATCTTAAAACCTTTCTTTGCCTTACTTGTTGGGGTTTCGGATCGATGTACATTATTAATTGTTACCTTGGAAAAACATTTCAGCCGTGTTTCCCGAACGTGTAAGCTGAGGTGCAAAGAGCCCATTAAACTGCTCCAACTCCGGTCCAACAGAGCCTTCTTGCTCCAAAGCGTGGTTCGTATTTGCAACTCCAAAATCCAAGCAAAATGTTGAGCGTAATCCAGTTCTGTCGCTCCAAAAAGCAGGCAAAATGTTCAGGAAACTTTGCAGCTCCAGCTGTCGCCGGCTGACTGTTATTACGTAGCGTCGATCTGTTTTCTCATTGATGGAGTACCACTGCCTCCTGCTGTCGCAATACTGGTATTGCACTAGCAGTACCAGTATTTCTCCACAAGGTGCCAGTGGTACTCCATCAACACTGACCCCAGTGTGTTCTTACTTCGCTGTGTCATAAGTTTTGCTGAATGACTTTGTTTGTATTATTTCTAGCAAAAATGAATGAATGTTTGTACTTTAACCCACAAAATAAACTTATATATATATAAAAAGTTATAATAATGTATATTTAAATAATTAATAACAACATAACCTATGGGCTGCTGTTTTCTAGGGGGCGCTATAGAGAAATTAGGCCACGCCCTACAAATATTGTGATGGATTCCAGTCGGGGAGTGGATAAATATTCATCCTTGTGAGTTTTCAGCAGCTGAGCCCGAAAATGTGGTAATGAGAGCCAAACGTATGGCGATGGCGTTACAGGTAACTTCGCCACGCCGCCATGCCCACCTGCTCTATCGTAGCTGTCGGGTTGGAATCCTCAATACACCAACATGTCTTCGGTGTCTGGGCACAGTTTCATGTTGATGAGGTCAAAGGGGTCGGATAGCGAACATTCACAGTAAAACATTACACTTCCTGTTCTCAGGGGGCGTGGCCTAAGTGATGTCATCATTCGACCATAGGGTAATGTAGGAGACCCGATGATGATCAATCACAGAAACTTTGGTGCCTCTGTGAGTTTCTGTGTAGGAGATATAGCAGTTTATGTTTTTATGGCGAGTAGGTGAACTTTGACCCCTGCTAACCCCCCTTCAGCATACTCAAAAACTCACCGTTTAGATAACTTTAGATGAGACATGCCTTATGAACAGACTGACCGAGTTTGAAGCCGATCAATCGAAATCCCTAGGAGGAGATAGATCAAATATGAAGGCTGTAAACTGCAAAAATGGGGTCAAAAACCGAACTTGAATCCAAAATGGCTGACTTCCTGTGGGGTTTAGACCATGGCTCCAAGAGACTTTTTTGTACGTCCTGACAAGGTACACATGTGTACAAAGTTTCGTATTTGTAGATTAAAGCATGGCTTGGGGCTGATCATTTAAAGTTTTCTAGGGGGCGCTATAGAGAAATTAGGCTACGCCCACCAAATATTGTGATGGATTCCTGTTGGGGAGTGGATGAGGGTCCATCCTTATGAGTTTGCAGCAGCTGGGCCCGAAAATGTGGAATTGAGAGCCAAACGTATGGCGATGGCGTTACAGGTGACTTCGCCACGCCACCACGCCCACCTGCTCCATCGAAGCTGGTCGGGGTTAGAATCCTCAATACACCAACATGTTCTCTGTGTCTGGGCACAGTTTCATGTTGATGAGGTCAAAGGGGTCAGATAGCGACAGTTCACAGTAAAACATTACACTTCCTGTTCTCAGGGGGCGTAGCCTAAGTGATGTCGTCATTCGACCATAGGGTATTGTAGAAGACCTGATGATGATCAATCACAGAAACTTTGATGCTTCTGTGAGTTTCAGTGTAAGAGATATAGCAGTTTATTTTTTTATGGCGAGTAGGTGAACTTTGACCCCTGCTAACCCCCCTTCAGCATACTCAAAAACTCACCGTTTAGATAACTTTAGATGGGACATGCCTTATGAACAGACTGACCGAGTTTGAAGTCGATCAATCAAAATCCCTAGGAGGAGATAGATCAAATACAAAGGCTGTAAACGGCAAAAATCGGCAAAAATGGGGTCAAAATGGGAACTTCAATCAAAAATGGCTGACTTCCTGTGATACTTGCACTATGACATTAATTATAAAATTTGAGCGTCTTGGGGAGTTCTACAAGTGTACCAAATTTCATGTGTCTACGATAAAGTAAGTGAATAGCAGAGGGTAAAAAAGGGTGTTTTCCAATTTCTAGGTGGCGCCGTAGAGACATTTCTGTTGCAATTTTTGCTACGACTTTAAAATACGTAAATTTTAAACAGGCTTAAGGCCTCCGCCAAGTTTGGTGAGTTTTTGAATATGATAAAGCCCCCAAAAAGCCAATTCATTTGGGTGGAAGAATAATAATAATAATAATAATAAACAATAGGAAAACAATAGGCCTTCGCAGCGCTTAGCTGCTCGGGCCTAATAATAAACAATAGGAAAACAATAGGCCTTCGCAGCGCTTAGCTGCTCGGGCCTAATAATAAACAATAGGAAAACAATAGGCCTTCGCAGCGCTTAGCTGCTCGGGCCTAATAAGAAACAATAGGAAAACAATAGGCCTTCGCAGCGCTTAGCTGCTCGGGCCTAATAAGAAACAATAGGAAAACAATAGGCCTTCGCAGCGCTTAGCTGCTCGGGCCTAAAAATCAGCAGAAAGGAAGGAAATAAAATAATATCTATTGTTGATCATTTTATTGAAATCAATGCAGATCTGATTTGTCTTATTGATTTCTATATTTCACAATAATTAAAACTTATTTAAGTGCCAATCATTTTATTTGCAGTAATCAGATGATTTT